CAGGCCACAGGCAGTTGGGCACGTGTAACCACCCCAGGCCCTGCGTGTGATTCCCTGGGTGGGGGTCTCAGCCACCTGGGGCCTACCGGAATCTTCTCGGCAGGGGCCCAGCACAGCCAGGCAGCTCACAGCACGCAGGCCACTTTGATAAAAGAAAGTGCCTGCCTCCGCATGCGACATTCTGGCACTTGCTACATGCTGCACACGTGCTGCTGCACTATCAGCTGGCAAGCGTCCTCGCGCTCACGGGTGAGCAGGGCACACGCAGGCAGCCATAGCCAAGCTGGCCTGCGAGATGCCGGATGGGGCGCATGGTGGTTCTTGGGTGCACGCGGCATCTGTGTGGGGGATTGAGGTTGTGAGTGATGCGTGAGACATACCTGGTGCTTGAGGCGAACGGCATTGGCCGAGATCTGCTCGTACTTTGGGAAGCTGTTGACGTCACCAGCAGCGTTGTAGATAGGCTAGATAGGATCTGCCATTCGTAGTCTGGGCGCTGAGCGCCAGATAGGAATTCGACATTGGTTCATTGTTGATGATGATGAGACTCTTCCAACATTGTCACGTGTGAGCTTTAGCTGTGCTATTATTTGGTGGAACTCCAGTTGCAATTCGTCTTTTGGTTCGAGGTCATGACTATCAGGTTTCATGCGTATGATGCTGCTTGGTTTTCTGGAACTCGCTATCACTCATTTTCCTTGCACGAGAACTTAAATCCTTGCAAATTGCAACATTCCATACAAATCCAGGTAACTTCCAGCCCGAACTGAAAGCAGATTGCAACACGGGATAACACCACATAAGTATGAGCAAAGCATCAAAATCACTAGATAATGAAAGCCCTCTTCTTGCCTCCAAAACCAATGTCAACAATGTAGCTCTAATATCTTGGTGCTCGGTGCCCAGACTACCCTCAGACCGGTCCTATCCACCTGGACTCCTCGCTACAACAGGTCCTCCATGGAGAACATTAGCCCAGTGACAATTGGAGACTCCGAGTGGACTGGCCTGCTTCTCTCCCATCAGGTATGCACCTCATCACATCACCCTCTCTCTGACTTGCCCTACCACAGTCCCTCCCCCCAAGGACCTCCGCCTTCCTCCTTCGGCTAGGGGTGCCAGCAGCCCAGCTATGGCCGCTGCACGCTCGCAGATTCTTCCTCACGCCTCACCAGTCCCCTTCTTCCTTCATGGGCCGGCTCTCGCCCAGCGACTAAGTGTTCCACCAGCCTGGCTGGGATGCTCACCGCCTGGATGGACGTGCTGCACCCTCTCCCAGTTGCCGTGCCCAGGGCCCTTCCAGAACGTGCCTAGTGCTAAACTCTAAGTGCCCTGGGCCGAGGCTGCGTACAGAAACCAACCCATCGGCCCATTTCAGCTCACGTAGGCTTCAACGAATTTCTACAGGCTAGGGCTCAACTGTAAGTGCCCTTCTTCCTTTATGGCCCGGCTCTCACCCAGCGAGTGAGTGTTCCACCAGCCTGGCTGGGATGCTCATGGCCTGGATGGACGTGCTGCACCCTGACCCAGTTGCTGCACCCAGGGCCCTTCCAGAATGTGCCTAGTGCTAAACTCTAAGGCTGCGTACAGAAACCAACCCATCGGCCCATTTCAGCTCACGTAGGCTTCAACGAATTTCTACAGGCTCAATGCGTATTTTGGGATACCTGCCTTCACTTAGGGCGCGGGCCGCTGTTCTGAAGCCTCGCTGAGGGGCTCAATTCCCACAAAAACGTGAAAAACAAATATAAAATCAGCATCAGCCCCCCATTGAAGCTGGGCATATCAGCACCTGTCAGAACTACGATCGACGAAGCACGCAGAGATCGACAAAAGCATGGCGCTCACATCACCGCTGCTCCCCTAGAACAAACCCACACATTACAGGCATCATTTTTCTTTGGGAAATTTTTGGAAATGCCCCTGAAGTTTTGATTAATTTGCGGCATGCCCCTCTGACGACCGACTTACCCTGTCGTGCCCCTGGCGCCTCTTAAATTTTCCGCAGGCCCCTGTCAGCATGGGGTGTAATTTTCCACTATGCCCTTACTAGACTGCTGGTGGCATTTCGTCGGTCCATCCTCGAAATGCCCACATGAGGGACATGCATTTTTCCACGACGCCCTTGCAGCAGTGGAGGGAATGCGATTCGCGTTCGCACGTGCGTGTGTGCGTGGGTGTGGGTGTTTGAGTGAGTGTGTGTGTGTGTGTGTGTGTGTGTGTGTGTGTGTGTGTGTGTGTGTGTGTGTGTGTGTGTGTGTGTG